TCAGAGCTGCCACAAGTGGAACAAACACTCATACTAGGAAGCTGTGGCATGACATTGCAACATTTTCATCTCCATGTCATATGAGGCTACGTCCTCTCACCACCAGTGCCACCACTTCACCGGGCTGAAATACACTTGAGGCTCAGTAACCAGGGTACAGAGATGGTTGGGGACTGAGCTGTAGACACCTTCACCGCTGTTTAGTTGGGAACCCCAGAAAAGGCTGAAGGTGTGTTTCCCGCTGGTGCTACTGCATTCAACTGCAAGGGTCAAACCCTGGTTCCACTGAAGTCAGTAACAGAACTCTCAGTGATCTCCCTGGGACCAGGATCTGGTCTCTTGGCCCCAGAGAGCTGGCCTGAAAGACAAGCTGTAAGAATTTCAGCTCAAGTGTATTCTGCCTGGAATGGCCAAGGTGCTACTGGCTTTGGAAACCAAGCCCACAGCACAAACTTAAAGCACTGAAAGCGGTCTGAGATTTTCAAAGCTGCCTAAGGGATTTAGACACACAGCTGCCATTAATTTCACTGGGAAATGTGTGTCTAAATTCCCTGGAGAGCTGGGCAATATTAGACCTTGGGCCTTCAGTCAGCAGAAAGACGAGGCCTTTCCAGCATGGCTGCCCACAGGAATGGGTGGTTGTCTCCTGCTGACTTCCCTCCACCCACATAGTCCTGGGAGTAAGCATAGACTGTCTGTAAGCTAGGAACGCATTTATGGCCCGTAACCTGTCGAGATTTTAGAAGCTGCACCGAGTGAGCCCTTTTTGGCAACAGTTTGCATCAAGCGATCCAGCTTCAATAGAAGTGCTCAGAGGCATTGATGTTCCTATTTATAACCCTATGAAACCATTTGTAACCAATTAGTGGTGCTGGCTAGAGTAAGAGGTATAAATAGCTGAACAAATGTAAATATTAACACTGCAGTCTTTGATCCAGCCCTCTGAACTTTCAGTGTGTCCCCCGTGAACCCAGCCCACTTAGGAAAGAACAAAGACCCTTTCCACACGTTACAGCAGTCTCTGACTCCAGCGTCTCTCTCTGCCCTCCAGCGTCAGGTCACATTTGTAACGGAGCTCTGGGTCCTTCATATCAGGGCAGCTTTCCCATGCTGGGCTGTTTCCCCTTGGAGGTGGGACGGGGGAGGCAGAGTGGGGTGTACAGTGCCTCTAAAATCAGGTTCTATTTCAAGGCGAAACTCCTCCATCCCCACCCCCGTCACTGACTGGCATTTCGAGAAGGCTGTGTACAATTCCATGCGGTTAGTGTGGACACGTACCCGTGTGGCCAAGGTCAGATGTATGGACGGAGCATGGACTATCCTGCGCTGAACTCGCTGGAGACCCCCACAACGGCCATGCACAACAGGATGAGTTAGGGAGAGTGCAGCTGGCCTCAACTCTGAATTTCCTACCTCTTGTTGGTTTCAGGCAGGATCTTAATGTTTTTAGAATGCACGGTTTAGAAATGAGGGAGGGGGAGTCGTAGGAAATCATGGGCCACTTCCGAATGGGTGTAAATTGCCGTAGTTTCACTGAAGTCAATGGAGCTATGCTGATTTTCACCAGCTGAGGTTCTGGGCTGGCCCCATGTTTGGGCTGCATGGAGTGATCTATTATTATTTGTATTCTCTGTAGCACCCAGGAGCCCGTCATGGACCAGGCCACACCGTGCTAGGCGCTGTACAAACACAGAACAAAGACAGTCCCTCCCCAAACAGCTTCCAATCTAAGTACAAGACAATAGATAGATACCGACAGACAGGGGAGTACAAGGAAACGCGAGACAATATTGGTCAGCACGGTAGGCAGTGGTCTCAGCACACCAGCAGCGTGACCATTGTCAAGTTTTTTGTTGGCCTCATGGCAAAGGAGAGTTATGAGGACGGTTTTGAAAGAGGACAATGAGTTAGAGATATCGCAGTGTCCTGCCTCATCAGAGAGACCCCATTTGGCTCCTGATCCTGCTCTGACTCCCTAGGCTAGGGGTGTGCTGCACTGCCCCGTGCAAGACTTGGGTTCTATTACCATGCACTGCTCTGGGAGTGACCCAGCTCTGACGCCAAATCCTGGCTCTTCCCTTCAGGCCAACAGGCACTGGAAACACTTTGGGAGTACTTCTACATGGTCAGTCAGGAAGGAGAGGGGGGGTTGATGGGGCGGTGGGGGGCAGTCAGGGGCAGGGGTTCTGGAGGCAGTCAGGAATTAGAGGAGGGGTTGAATCGGGCAGTGGGGGGTTCCGAAGGCGGTCAGGGGACAGGGAGAAGGGGTGGTTGGATGGGGCAGGTGTCTCGGGGGGCGGGCAGTCAGGAATGAGAGGAGGGGTTGGATCGGGAAGCAGGGGGCAGTCAGGGGCAGGGGTCCCCAGGGGGGCAGTCAGGAAGGAAGGGGGGGTTGGATGGGGCGGCGGGGGGCAGTCAGGGGCAGGGATTCTGGAGGTGGGCAGGGGACAGGGAGAAGGGGTGGTTGGATGGAGCAGGAGTCCCGCCCCCCCATCAGGGACCAAGAAGCAGGAGGGATCGGATGGGGGCGGGGCCAGGCCATGCCTGGCTGTTTGGGGAGGAGGCGCCTCCGCTAACTGGCCCTCCGTACAATTTTGGAAACCCGATGCGGCCCTCAGGCCAAAAAGTTTGCCCGCCCCATCTTAAGGGCTAAGCTGAGAAGGGAGGGAAGACACCAGGGCCAGGTTCCTTTTCTCCCCTGCGGGATTGTGAAATTTGATGGAAGCTCAAGCAATGGTCAGTATCCACATGGCTGGGTTATGCAGTAGCCTAAGGAGTGGTATTGTTTGCTGTATTACTCCCCTCCCAGGCATGCAGTATTCAACACCCCCAGAGCTTAGACAGGAAGTATTTACCAAGGGGAATGTCCCTTCTTTTCTGCCCTCTCCTCACACCTCTTAAACTAACAGATTTAGTGGTACACAAGTTGTCTTCTTCCCCACACATCCCTGTCACTTCCAGCCCTGTACACACCCCGATAATGGACTCATGTGTACACAGGCTAGTTGTGAGGTTCATAGCAGACTGTAGGCTCTTTGGGGAAGAGATGGTCTCTTCCTTTGTGTGCAGCGCCTGGCACAGCACAGCAGGGGCCTGATCCTGGTGTGGGCCTCTCAGTGCTACCATAAGAAACAGCAGCACTGAGGCAATGGATGCACTAAGTAGATAGGCTTGTAGAACTCTTTTGTGCCCAGTTCAGGGGCTCATAATCCTTTGGTGAGGATAGAAAAGAATTACATTTCCAAACTTTCATTAACCATAATAATTATATCACATTAACAGCCAGATAATAACACAACCACATAAGCCCCTTTCATCCAATGATCACAAAGCAATTTACAAAGAGTGTCATTATCCCAGCTTCATCCTGCAAATGGGGAAACTGAGGCACAGCAAGGTGATGTGCCCAAGGTCACACAGAAGGTCAGTGGCAGAATCAGGAATACTCCCAGGCTCCTGACTCCTGGTCCCCTGCTCTAGTCACTTGATCATGCTGCCTCTCATATGGCACATTTCTCTCACCAGTCGCCAACAGGCTAATTCTGCTATTTGGGTTTGACTGGCCCCTCTGCACACGTGGGAGCTTAGTGGCGCAATTGGATCTTTAAGAAATGCTGGTTCCACAAACAGTGATTATCAGCACCCAAGCTGGTGGCTAAAAGCTGGAAGTAAATAATCAGGAGGAATTATTATGCATTTGTCAACAATCTTTTCAGGGCAAAAATCCTTTCCCAGTCTCTCCTGCCTGAATCCAGCCCCTTTGTGTTCTCAGCTGATCACCCTAATCCCCGAAATCCAGCAAGCAAAGAAGTACAATCCCCATCTCTCCAGACCATTTATTCACCAGCCCTGGAGTTTATCAACTAGCAAGAGACAGAGGGTGAGTACATCTACCCAGTGTCTGAGGAAGGATTTGATCCCTATTGTCTCCTCTGTGAGCATTCCAATCTCTCTCCCCCCCCATAACATGTAGGCAGCCCATGTTCCAGGTGAGGTGTGGCTCCCACAGAGGGCACCTGGAAAGTTTACTTGTCTATGACACAGTCCAACAAATCTGGGATCACCTGTTCTGTCGGCTGGAGCTTGCCAAGGAATTTTTCCTCGCACTTTGCCTTGGAGCTACTCCACCCCCCGGTATTGAGAAACCCAGGACTGGCAGGCCCAGGACTGTGATGGAGCATACAAGTCACTGAGCTGCCGTTCTCTGTCAGTGGGAGTTCAGTTCTTCACGCACATAACCTTTAGAACTAAAAATCAACCAGGGGGGAGACCAGCAGACCAACCCTCAGATGGTATTTTGCATTGATTGATTTGGGTACTGGCTGGCTTGGGTGCATTTATTAAGGGTATTGGCCAAAGTTCTGCTAACAAGCTAGATAATAACAACAACAATAAAAGAGAAGAGAAATAGATAACTTGCAAGCACCCATTAATCCCTCAAGACTCTGAAATCTGAACCATCCAGACTGGCAGTATGTGCCTGTAGTGATCTCATGCAGCACATTAGCTAGCTGTGCTCTGCTCATTTAGCAATTCATACGTAGCGTGTGTCTGTGTCTCACACACATACAATAGATACCCACTAACCTGGATAAGGGAGGGGACATCATTCCTGGATCGCTCTTCATTCTGATCAAACTCTGCCCACCTATCAGATCCAGGTCTATTTATACATAGGTGGTGGTACAAGCAAGTCTATTGCACATCAGTGTGTGTGTGTGACTGCACAGATCTTTCAAACCATGTTGCATGTAGACAATATATTCCATGCACTGCTGTCCAAAAAGTCTTTAAAGGAGGTGGACATGGGGCTTGAGCACATTAGTCATAACAAAGAAAGCCTAAGAAAATCACTCCTTGTCTTGCAGGCCATCAAAAAGGAAGACCCCCCCCCACTAGGATAGTCCACCCTGATGTGACATTTTCCTTCCTATTCCTCTCAGCCTGACCCCATGCAAAATAAGCCCCTGTTCCCATAGCAAAGGAAGAGCTGTACTTACTGCTAGTGCTCATGCTGCGGGTCCTGCTCTGTCCTTCTCATTCAACAAAGCTGCTCTGTCAATCCTTTCTCTTTTATAGGAGTGGGGTTTTTCCTTTTCTTCCTAGGAAAAATATTTCCCTGTGATTGCCATCTAATTCATGCCCAGGTGTCTCCTGCGTCCCACGCTATTTTCTCCCCAGGCTCCTGCCTTTGCTCTTAATTTTGAGCAGGCAGATCATCAAGTCAGGGGTGGGGATAAAAAGAAGCAGGGAGCCTGAGAATAAACCAGGGCAGGGTGTTCCTCCGTCTCTCGCTCTCCTCCCAGCAACAGATCCGCCGTGTGAAGCAGCACACAGAGGCAGCTGACTGACTCCTGCTCAGGGCTGACTTCTATGGAGGGGGCTGTCATGCAATGCAGACCAATTCCAGCTAAAGCGCTTCTTACAGCTCAGGGGGGTGTGGACCACAGAAAGGGGAGGGGGACCTGCACAGAGCTTGCTCGCCCCCCACCCCAGTTATCATATAGCTATTGAATCTATCCGAGGGGAACCCCACCTAGCGCTCACCTCCTCTCAGGCAAGTTTGTCAGCAGAAGCCTCTTTCAAGTGCAGCTGGAGGAGGGCAGGGCTGGGGTTGAGGCTGCAAATTGTGATGAAAAGGAAGAGAAGAGAGAGAGGAAATTAGCCACATTGGGCAGGGTTTGCTTGGCTTGATCTTGCTGGTGGCGAAGGGGCTGTTCGGGCTGCCCTCTGCTGGCTGAAATGCGCCGGTGCTTGTTGCATGCAATGCATCGACTTTGCAAAGTGAAGGAAGCAGGCAAGCAGGCAGGTGTATCCATTTGCAATTTTGCAAATCCCTCCCCCTCACTCATCCGATGGGTTCTCCAACTTCCACCTTTCCCTATCATCACGGTCCCACCATATTTACAGCCGGGGGGGCTGACTGGGAGACCCTTAAAGTTTCTTCTTCAGTAGGCTTGGCAGAATAGGATTTGTATTTGTTTATCATTTCCATGGAGAATATCAGTGTTTATTTTTAAGCATTTTTTCCCATTTTGATTGATTTAAATTGTCACCGTTGTGCAAACTGATGGGTTTTAGGCATTTTTTTATTTTGCTCGATTTAATTTTTTACAGTGTGGGAAATTATGGGGAGTCAGACATGGATTATTTAATAACAGGAGACGATTTCAAAACGTTCAAGCTTTATAATTGTTAAAACACAAATTGTCAACACCGCATGTCAAGCTATACAATGTAAGTGTCCTTAAATCAGACTCTATGTTTTTAAGCAGCATTTTTCTTACTTTGCCAATTTCAGTTATAATTGCTCGAAATATTTTTTCCTGGGTTTGTGTGTGTAGGGTGAAATCGATCTTTACCGACATTTACTGATAAAAATTGAATCCTACCAAGCCTAATCGTAAGTGGCCAGAGGAGTCACTATTGGCCATCTCCATCAGTATGTGAGCATACGACCTTTAGTGCCTGTATCTCCCACCTGTCATTCCGTAGGAAGGCGGCTTCTCCATTTTGGCACCTATAAAAACACCTGGTATTATCTCCCTTGCCCCATAGTAAGTGATCCATCCCAGAAATGCTGCTTAGTGAACTGAGGCTATAGAAAATACTATTTTATGCTAAAAGAAACCCCTCTCTTGTGTTAAGATTCTCACTAAGAGTTTTCTGGTGTCCTGGTCCCTCTGGCTTCAGTGGAAGGTTTGCTGGATTAAGGACCTCGGGATTTGACCTTTGGTTGCAGGTCTTTTCCCGACACCATGTCCCACATTTGGAAATCAGGAGCTCTGCTGACATCAGTACGTCAGGGAATGATTTGGAAGAGGGCTCTAGGGGAACTGGAGGAATGTGTATATCACACCTGGCTGTCCAGATGGAAAGAATGCTCTTCCCTGGGAATCAGTGAGGAGCTGTCTTTGCAGGTATCAGATCAGGATTCCGGAAAGGACTTCAAAGTCATTCACTCTTTGTTTTGTTAGTAACTCTGTACCTACCGGAGTAAAGCATCACCCACCGGAGCTGCTGATGGGGTTCAGTCAGCAACAGTTTATGAACTGAGACTTGCTCGGTGGCAGTCCCACCTGAGGAGACTCTGAGTAGCTCAGACAGGGTTCAAAGCAGCAAGCAATGATCTCATCTCTAATGAAAGGGATTTCTTTATGCAGCATGACAAGCTTTGCATCTCTCCCAGCTCCTTTGGCTGCACTGCCTGCCACGCAGGCAGGGCCATTTTTCTGTTTGATTTGAGGAAGCAGATGTTTCTGGTGATGTGTAGCAGGTTGTGTGAATTACACGTGCACCTTTGGTTGTACTGTAAACCAACTGATGAAATCCTCTATGTGTCTATTTCATTTGTGTATCATAGGAGCAGTCTGCTCATTTCCATAGAGGGAGGGGGGTTCAGGACACTCGAACTGAGGTTGGAAATTGATGTAGGAGAGAGGGGATTAATTTAAAACAAGAAAGCAATCTAGTTAGTAAACCAGGAGTCTATCACCACTCTGCTCACTTTGCCTGTATGTTGTATACCTGTCCCCCTGTCCCTTGTCAGTCTTTGAACTTGTAGTAATGCCTATAGTTAACATTTCCTTTATAAGAGTCTGTTTTCAGTTGCTTATAACTTTGCCAAACGAGGTTGAAATTTTCAATGTCAGGTGTCTGGCTTGGGCTGATTTTTGGAGGCGATGGGAGGGAGGAGTTTCAGCAAAAATGGCTCACCTGTTTATGAGAATGATGTTAGGGGAAAATACATTGCTTGAAACTTGGCAAGCGAGTCACCCTTGGGCCAGAGAAGTGTGTATTGCTGTCCTTATGAAAATCCACCATGATATGTCTGAGGCTAGGTCTACACTACCCGCCTGAATCGGCGGGTAGAAATCGATCTCTCGGGGATCGAATTATCGCGTCTCGTCGGGACGTGACAATCGATCCCCGAATCGAAGCTCTTACTCCACCAGCGGAGGTGGGAGTAAGCGCCGTCGACTGGGAGCCGCGGAGGTCGATTTTGCCGCCGTCCTCACAGCGGGGTAAGTCGGCTCCAATACGTCGAATTCAGCTACGCTATTCGCGTAGCTGAATTTGCGTATCTTAAATCGACCCCCCCCGTAGTGAAGACCTGCCCTTAATGACATGCCTCTGAAAATCACTATTTGCACATGCATATTTAGAGGTTTGTTAGAGGCTGGCAACTAAATTCTCCAAATGTTCCATTTGTACTGAGCATGCTCCACCAGGGCAGAGGGGCTGAGTAGGACTTTTCCTGCAATTGCTTCTCCCACCAACTGGAGGCTGTTGTGTCAGGTAGGGGAGATTGTCTCTCTTGTGCTCTCAGTGGAACCAGGAAAAGGAGGATATAATCGAATCTATTATGGTGTTATAGGTTTAGCCAGTAGGTGGTACCCTATGTAACATACCTTGACCTTGCAACAGCCATTCCTGGCAATGCAATGATAGTGAGCATATCTGGTGTGTCTCTCTGGGAAGGCAGCTCGGTAGCCAGTCCATATTAAGTACAGAAGCCTGCCCTGCTAGTAGCAGTCCTGCAACCTGTACAAGGTGTACATGACAGAGGAAGCTGGCAGCCTGAATCAAATGTAGAAGGAGGGAGGGAGGGGCAAGGGTGGGTGGAATAGGAGCAGTCTGGATAGGAACGGGGCACAATAGTCCATAGCCACTCGAGAGCATTGCTTTCCACAAACTGGAATAGAGTCCAGGTTTCCTGAGTCCCAACTTTCCTCTGCTAACAGCAAATATTTGGGAAACCCATTAGCAAAAGGGGTGTCTTATCTCCCTCTAGTGACCGGTCCATATAGAGGATAACTGCTACCACTGACTCCCTTTGCTCAAGTGGTAGATGTCTGTGCTCTGGAGCTAAAGGTCCTGCTGCTGCTGACCGAAGAGGAGCACCAATATAATTCCACATAATGGAATTGCTGTTTTTTCAGTTTGCTTTTTTTTTTAAATACTGAGTTTTTTATCTGTAATTTCCTATATTAAAGGAACCTTACGGTTGCTAAGCCAAGCACTGAAATATTAGGAAATGCCAGGAATTAGATTGCCTGTGCCACCTTGTGCCTAAGCGTTATGGTACAATGTTTAATTACACGATCAAACACATTTTTTCCTCCACAAGACTCCTGCCGCACTCAGTGCACAGCATGGATGGTGCTAAGAGATGAATCGGGGTTGTGTAGTCAATGAAGCTGGCTGTCCTGGCTTCATTTGGGGCAGAAGTTGGGAAGTGTGTAGTGAACGAGGCAGAGGACCGCAGGAAAGGACAGGGCGGTCTTGTGGTTTAGGCTGTTGAATGCGCCCCGGAGAACTGAATTCTACCCCTGCCTCTGCCACAGAGTTCCGGTGTGACGCTGGTCAAATCTTTTAAACCCAACTTTTCACAAGTGGCCACTGCTTGTGTTCCTCATTTTTTTTGGTGCCTGACTTGAGACCCTGTGGTCTGATTTACAGAAGTCCTGAGCAATCAGCTGTAAGTGAAATAAATGTGAGCTGTGCTCTGGACATGCAATGTGCTATGAAAATACTACATACTCTGAGGCTCTAGCTGTCTCAGGTTGGACTCCCAAAACTACTAGACACTTAATAAATTTTGGCCTTAATCTTTCTGTGCCTCAGTTCCCTACCTGTGAAATGGGGATAATAGCACCCCCTCATCTTACAGGGTTGCTATGAAGATAAATCCATTCATGTCTGTAAAGCACCCAGATCCTACAGTGCTAATTGCTATAGGAAAGCCAGGGAGGAAATTAATAACCAAGTATTCAGTGCAGTATTTGATGGTATGCAGTAAACATGACATTGGGCCACACGTTGAATGATAGGGATAAAAAGAAATATTGAATAACTACCCATTCAGTGAGCACCATCCACCTGGTGCACTAAATGAGGCAGGGGCCCTTTGGAACAAATTGTATTTGGTCATGTAATTAAAGACTGTATCATACTGTAGATACACAAGAGGGCTGAATGAAGGCTGCACAGGTAGCTTTAATTCTGGCATTTCCTAACGTCTGAATGCTTGACTTGGCAACCTTAACGTCCCTTTTCACATAGCTTTGTTTTGTATATAGCTGTGGTGAGAGAAAGGGGGCAGCTGCCAGAGTGTTTTCCACAAGGGCCCCTCAGCTTTGGAACTGTCTCCCTCACCCCTTCCATACTAGCCCACGTCTATTGCCTTTCAGGATACACTGCAAGGCCTGGGCCGTTTGCGTTCCCTAGTGGTGTGGGAGTGGGAAGGCTTTTGGTGGGAGATACATGTTTTGCTGCTGCGTTGTCATAGGTTGTTGGGAAGGGGCAAGGGTGCCAGGAGTTGTCGGGGACAGGAACTCCTTAATAGAAGTGTGTGCAAGTCTAAAC